GGAGTTTGAGTTATCGAGGGTTTAAAGAGAAAGCGATCTGAAGGGAAATGTAAATTGCTTTGAGTTAGCGGGAGGTTCGAGTTATAGAGGGTTTGAGTTACCGGGATTTGACTGTACATGTGTCTTGTGAGGACATGCAGACAAGTGTCCAGCAATCCATACATTCATAATTTTGTAAGTTGAATTGTTGCAATACGAATTTGATACAGCTGGAAAACAACCAATGAAAACTGGTGTCATGATAATAAAAAAAATCAATAAAAATTAATCACATTAAGAGTTTGAAGATTTTTTTTTCATGATTTGTCACCGTTTTTCAATATCAGTTAATTGGCATCAGTTATTAGAATTGACTTTCATAGATTGCCAGTTTCAGTTATTGGCCAGGACAGGTCCAGTAATCACTACTAATGATTTCTTCCTTTTTAATCATAGGTCAAGTCATGGAGGAACTTGCTCACAAGTTGCTTGGATTAACTCCATGCAAGTTTAAACCAATACACTCAAGGAACCTCAGCAATCCATTTTCTTGTTTTGTAAATTATGACAGTGGGCTAAATAAATGACAAGGCTAATGTACATTAATGCAAAAAAATTCAATAATTAATTGTTACCATCTCTTTTTAAGATAGCTGTTAAGAGCTTTTGAAAGACCATCATTGTTGTGGTTGGCCCAGCCATTCAAGCAGTCAAGTTTGCATCCGTTTTTAAATATCACGAACTGGCTTTGTTCAAAAGCTGGAAGGTGTTATTTGACAGGCCCCAGTTGTTCAAAAGGTGGATAATGCTATCCATCATATAAATTTCTATCCACTGGATAGCGCAATCGGTTTTCCTAATACTTATATATATCCACTGGATAGTGATTTCTCCAGTGGATAGTGCTATCCGTCTTTTGAACAACCGGGGCCTGATAAATCATTATCCACTGGAAAATTGTAAGAGAAACCAATAACATGATTGTGCTATCCAAGGACAGACATCTGTCCAGTGGATAAGGTTATCAACGTATTGACAATCTAGATGGGTCAAAATGGACATTGGTCAACCCGGCGGACTCTGTTCATATCCACTGCACATGTATGTTATTACATGGTTGTTGTCAAGTAAATAAAATGCTTGACAACTAGCTGATGGCTTTGAAAGAATGGTGTAATTTATAATACAATCATTTTCTGAACAAAAAATGTCAAAATAAATTTTATTTCAAAGTCATGCATGAAGCTGTCTCAGTATTATAATTACATGTAAGAATGTATGAAATAAGGATGACAAAAAAAAATTGCAAAACTTCTTCAAACAAAGTGCTATTGACAAATGCAAGCCTGAGACATCCAAATTTAACAAAAGATTACTAGTAGTAATGGGCTAAGCCCACAATCCAGCTCAAATTCATAGCTCACTTTTGAGTTTTATTGCATTGCGTTCAAAATCTATCTTTAATGGCTCTTTAATGTCAGCATTGGCCACTCCAGGCATGAAAAGGGTCACCTTGACTATTTAACAATTATCCCACGAGTGCATGTTGGATATGAGTTGGCTATTCTCATATCCAACAAGTGAGAGTGGAATAATTGTTTTATTGAAAACGCCTACAAAATATAGAGAATTCTTCTCGACTTTATTTGTAAAACAACTGATTTTCAGCTTGTTTTTAACTTTGAGCAGACGCGTACAGTTACCATATTTGGAGAGCATGGTATAATGGCTGATATGCCATGATGGCTAAGCCAATCAAAGCTCTAGAATTGCATTATCCAACGATTCAGTTTTTAATAATAAGAAATAGACCTCAGGCTTACAAACTGTACTCCAATAAGATAAGTGATTGTCATCATTGAAAAATGCATGGACAGTACTGTAAATGGTTTGGAAAGAACACTCTGTTAAGTTCTTTCAGTTCCATTGCTGAAATCCTGATTTCAGCACTCTCTGGATAAATCCATAACTGTGTTATGTACATACTGTTCAACAGATGTTAAAATATGTAAAGTTTTATAGACACAACAAATGCTGTATCCTGAAAAAGCTGTTGAAGTACTCACACAAATCTTGGAGTCAAAACTTTGACAAGATACAATAGACCACCTTTCTTGTCAAGGTGATTCTAAGTGAATCAAATAGATTCTAATAAAACTAGCATTTACCACATAAATTTAAAAACAGGTCTATCCTCTGTTCTCTGCTAACCAATCTAAATATTTTAAAGCAACAACTTCCATTTTAGGAAAACCTTAGACACTATAAGGATTACACTGACCTATTTTTGATCGAGGCTTTTGTACTTTGAGGATTGACTGTGGATGGCTTTCTAAAATTACGCAGGAAAAATCCCCTGAGTGTATACAATGATGTGTTGCAAGTTTCTTTAATTTATGAAATAGAGCAAAATTGCCATTTATAGCTGAAAATTAAAGCCTAACTACACAATATTAATTGTTACATAGTTTTGCTGGTTTTGACCAATGTTTATGTTTAGGATAAACTCTTGTATAAACAAGAGATGTATGCTTGAGTCAGAACTAGCATACAAAAATAGACAAATCCTTTCAAAGTCACAGATGCTGAGAGGACAAAAAGTTGGAAAGGGACTACAGGACAAAGACTTAACACATGAAAGATCAGTACAGTCATGTAGGCAACTTTTAAGCAGTTGTGAAAACAAAAGCCTGAAAAAAAGCCTTGAACAAGACTTGCAGCAGATTCAAGCTAGCTTGAATGGGATTTGAACCACTTTCAAGTCTGACTTTTTTCTAGGCTTTCTTCTATGCTAAATTTCCAGCCACAGTTTGTAAAATGAGCCCACGCTTCGCCCCCCAAAAGAGGGCTGGATGCATGGGGTTGCTATTGTTGATTATTAGTAATCAAACAACTGCCTGCCCACATCAAGCAGTCAGTATATATTATTTTTCCTGGAGCAGATTTTAAACAGCAGATGAAAAGGTGTTGTATTCTGTGGCTTGTGTTTGTGTTTTGGGGCATTTTAAGCTTAATAAAAACCTGAAATATTTACAATGAAAAGAGCTACAGTAGTAGAGAAGCTGCTGAATGGTGAGGATGTTTTTGTTATTCAAAAACTGACAATAATTGAATTATTATAAATTTTTCAGTCTGCACCAATGGTTGTTGACAGCCATTATGAAGGAGATGACTTTCAAGTCCGTTTTTTGTAATTTCATCCCTAACTTTGCTAATGCAAGATCAATGGAAATCAGTAAGCATCGTTGCTAAGTTTAGTGGCAAAGAGAAAGTTGACGGAGAGGCAAAATCAACACGTCAACTCTGGTATTTTTTTTTAACAATTATGCGTTAATTAAATATTTTATCTTTTATTATGAATACACCGGTGCATCAGACATGATTGACCACTAATGTATCCAGCCATCTCTTCTCGGAAAGGTACATGACTGGACTAAGAGTGGCAGAAATTTAAGCCTAGCATTCTTTATGCAACTGCTACCTCATGTACATAACAATGATGACCTTTCATGTGTTAAGTATTGTCTTACACAGTGTTCTCACCAGGCCGCGGCCTTGCGGGATTCCCGCAAGAAAAACTGAAATGGCGTATTAAAACCAAGAAGATGCGCCCGTTAGGGCGCAGGGGCAAGCTACAAGTCAAACGGACTTAAGTAGTTTTAATGGTCAACCCAACACTAAAGCATTCTGTTTGTTTGAATAAATAAAAAACATGATATCAAAAGAGTCAAAGTCTTTAATTTTGTCGCCTTTACTTTCATTGGTCCCACGCATGTCCCACTACATCGTAAACTCCTCCTCTGAATCGTAAACACCTCTTCCGCCACATTGGATCAGGTAGGTACTTCATGTAACAGACAATTTGGAGTGCAGGCTCAGGTTCTTCGTACCGTGCATTTTTATAACTTTGTCCCCCTAATGTTCTTTCAGGGCCCCTATTTCTCAGAAGAGGGGGCCCTGGGACTCCCCAAGGCAAAATCCTGGTGAGAACACTGCTTACATGACTATAATATTATAAATTATTATCACCTGAAAGAATTAAATTATTTTTTCACTGTACACCCTTAGATCTACATGTACATTATAAAAGTTATAAACATTATTACTAGAAAAAAAAAGACGTAATCATCTAATGACAAGATCTTTGATGATAAAAATAGCTTCACAGTCACTGCCACTCAATAAGTGTTTAGATTGGATGTCCAGAGAATTGATTGACAGTCTATTATAAGGAAGTAGAGAAAATGTTTCCATTTTATGTTTTGTTGCATCCACTGAAAGCCACGGACTTATGCTGTCATATCCTCCGCCGATGCCAGCACCATTGCCAATACTGCTCGGAAGGAAACTTTTATTTGCACCTGGGAGTCCAGTGACACTTTGCACAGCTACAGAGGTACCATCCCAGTGCCAGAGAGAGCCATCCTCAGAGCATGTGAATAGATTGTCGGGACTGAGGGGATGAAACTTGACTTCCCAAACTGGTGCAAGAAGGATGAAATAAGATGTTTCAGTTATACAACATGGTGATGATCATGATTCAATAAGAAGATCTTTCGAGGGTTGTCCAATTCTGTCAAACTAGACTCCAGTCATATGGACTCCAGATGACTTTCCGACTCTCTCCTCATTTTTTTTTTTTTTTTACACCTCTGGTTTTATCTTATGACCAGACTTCTAGTAGGTCAAGTGGATGCCACTGTTCTTCCAGTTTCATTTCTTGACTAGACTCCATTGGACTCCAGGTTTGTCCACTGGAATCTAGTTGAGTTAATTGAACATGACTGAAGGGGATCTTTCATGGAGATGGGAAAAGAAAAATACTTCTCTAGTCCCTAGCATAATAGTCAGGTCTCTTAGTGCAAAATATAGGCCGGATCGTTACAGACGTGACAAAAGTGTCAAATTTGGCACAGAGCTTCCTTAGCACCTACCGATTAATACTGGAGGGGGTGCCCGTTACAAATGGTCCTAATTACAGATAAAAGGGGGGGTTAACTTTCACCTATAATAGCAGATTGGGTGCCCTGTGGTGAGTACTCTTCTTGTTTGATTTGGCTAAAAAACACTTGTTGCAAATTTTTAAGTTTTTAATTTGGTAATGTTTAGTTGTTGTTACACTATTCAAAATAGTTTTACATGTACATAATACTGACTAGTGCCCAATCTCCACACGGTAAGTGTGGCCATGTTCATTGTGCGGACTGTGCGGCTATCAGTGTCACTGCTAAGACTTGCCAGTGATAATATCATTACATATCAATTTAAACAGATCACAAAGCCAGCTTTCAAAGATGTCATACAATAACATAAAACTCAAATGTATCACATCCTAAACGATAGAATCGTTAAAGTTTGACATGCCACATGAACGACCTCATGAACCGTAACTGACAACGCGCCCTCTTTGTAATTGTGCAGCTAAGATTAGATTATAATTTGCTTCGTTGGTAACCCTGTCCTTGAGATAATGATTAAAACATGTCAACCTCGTCCTCAGGGGGAAAAGGAGGAGCAAGGGTGGCACAGTTGGTTAGTGCGCAGCCTTCGGGGCGAGAGGTCCCGAGTTCGAGCCCGGTGTTAACACCTCCTTATTTCAGCTTCTCTCCTTCCTGTGTAGCTTTGACTAGCTTTAAATGCCCTTAAAATGGAGAATTAATGGAGAGAGGGGGGTAAAAGGAGCGCACCGTCGACCTCAAGTTTATCACTTATTATTACTGTCAAGAGTTATTGACGCAAAATATGGTCGCTTTACCTTTTTCTACCTTTTTATTAAGCCCTGGGGACGAGGTTGTAAAACATGCCTCTCCAGGAATTTTTAACACTCTTTATTTTTTGCACATTTGCATTTAAAAAAAAGTGTATGAGGTCTCCGCATGCCTATACACCTGTAAGCGGCTCATTCACTTCAAAGCCCTTGGACCAGAGTGTTAATGGTAGGTCTATACGATCTTTCAAAAAAAAGGAAGGTCGTCGCGTGCGTTACAATTTACAAACAAACTAACTTCAGAAGAGCTGAAATTTACAGGAATAAGGCCTCTTTTAGCCAACCAATGATGCATCATTTATGAAAATGAATGTAATTTGTTTGATGCAATTAGGCGAATACCCCGTGGTTACGAAATCTTACGATCATTAATTCCTCAAGAGCAATTCAGTTACCGACTTTTCACAAAATAATGCTGTGGAAAATTACATAAAATACCAAAAAAGCAGGGGTCAACAATAATTATGGCCTGGTCCCTGATAATAATGGAGTGGTCATGATAAAGAAGCCCATCAGCCCCAACTTTGACCACTCAAACAGATTTTTGACAGATTACATACTGGAAAACTTTGCATTCACTTATGCCTATGTTGCCACACCAGGAGCCTAGAAATCGGCTCCTGGTCACACCTTGTTTTTATTGCTGAATATCATTCTAAAGAGCTTTACGAAATATTTTGTTAGTAGGGGTGTTTTGAACATGATTGATATTTGGAGATGGTGACAAAAACGAACACAGAAAAAGTCACAAAACAAGACGCATGAAACAACCGCAATCTAATATTCGTTTTACACCGATATAATGGCTTCTTTGGCTGCTATGCTGACGTTCTTAAAGATGGCCGGTAGTATCATAGCTAGTCCCGTGTTAGGTATACCGTTTATTACCAGTTTCACGGTTCTGGAGACTTAGGGCCTGTTAACATAAAGGTGGGGGACCCCAGGTAGGTGAGGTAACCTGCTTAGGTGGGGTAAAAAAACAACCCTCCTTTACATGCAATCTTACAACCCCGCCATCCTGGGGTGCAGTTTCTCAAGATTATATGAATGGTCGCTAACCATGTAAACAAGAAAAATGCTGGCAAACCACGTCTACGCTCAATTGCTGCTCTTGCTGCAATCTTCAGTGTTGTGGCTTTCTATTGTTACCTTTAATAATTATGTGAAGCCACCCAGCGCCAAAGTGAATTTTGCGCGAATTTGATATATCTCGAATCCCAGCCCGACTAGTCTGGGTTTCCTCACCTTGAAACGTTGACATGGCAAAATTTGACCTCAGCTGAGAGGGTTACCTGGTGTGGCAGACCAGACTACCCACCTTGAAGGGTGGCCCCACCTATCATGTAAACGTGATCAAATTAAAATGAGAGATTATATGGACAGGCGGGTTACCCCACCTAAGTGGGTTACCATTCCTACCTGGGGTCCCCTTCCTCCATGCAAACAGGCCCTAAAAGTTAGCCCGGTCCCCTTTCTACAGTTTCAGCAGTTAAAATATTCACCATTTATCATTTGAGTCAATCTTGTTCCACTTGAGTCTCACTTTTACGACTTGATAAGCTGTTATTATTTTTGGACATGAGTGCTTCAGTGCCAAATGTAGAGGCTTCATGATAAACTGTGCTGTTTTTTTAAGCTTGGGCTAGCTTGTTTCTTTTTTTCGTTTATGAGACCAGATTCTTTTTTGGTTGTTTTTGCTTTGTAAAGCTTAAACAAACTGCGGAAATTGTAAATAATATGACTTGTGCCACGGTGCTTACTTCTCTGTCAAAACATGCACTAGCATCCAGCAGATAACTGGATAAAGAGAGACTGAAAGGCATCCAGGCCTATGTTAAGCTGAAAAACTAATTACCTCCCTAGGAAAGAAGTATTTTGGGCTCTGTTATTTTGTTATTTGCTCTTCATGAATAGCTGTTTAAATCCCTGATAATATGTGATACAACAGACTCTTTGACAATTTCTTTTTTCTGAAATTTTTTTTGCCTTCTTCAGCTTAAAGTGACATGTAATGACAAGTAATACTTGATAAATAAGGCTTAAGCCACACAATAAGGCCTCCTCTAATTGAAATACATTAGAAAAGAAGAAGAGACCCCAGAAGCTGAGTACTTGCAAGTTATGAAGCAAAGACGAGGCCATCTTAGAAATGACTTATGAACATGTGGGCAGACTGTGAACTTGCTTTAAGGGCACAGTAATAATCAACTTAATTATACAATCAATAAGCAAAAATGGATGGGAATGCCACATGTTCGAGTGAAATTGTTGTTTACAACCTGAGAATAGAATCCAGAGTGATTTAAGGTATTAAATAACAATTTTCAATCAAAACACCACAGGGACCCCAGCAGGTGAAATTTACAATAATTAAATCCTCTTTAGCACGCTTCAGTGGCATATTTGCAGTGGGCACCCCCTCTAATATTCATGGTACTGCAATAAGCTATCGTTGTGCAAAGTTTGGTGCTTTTGTCAACTCTGTAACGATCCTGACCCTAAGAGACCTGACTAAAAGAGGTCATTTATTTGGAGAGGTGCAAACTGGAGAGCAGGGAAAAAGAAAAAAATATAGAGAGAGAAAGGAAGAAAGGAATGCCTGTGGGATTTAAATGCAATTTAAAGGACTTGACTATAAAGAGCACCAACAGTGCTAGCAGCCAGTGGGCAGTTTGAAGGTACATGCACAGTAGTCCTCAACAATGGTCAAGTGAGGTATACATGTTTCAGGCAGAACATATGAGGAGGGTTTCAGCCAATGTTGTTTGCCAAGAGTGTTCTTCAGTAACTTCTCTCTGCCTCCCTTTTCCCATTTTCCCTTTTCCCTTTCCTCATTTTTCATGTTTATTCCATGTATTCTTGACTTACACTAGAAATAAGGTCAGTCAAAGATGCCCTAAATAGCCTACTGAAGTATTTAATACACTCACTTTCTGCAGCATGTGCCTCCAGTAAAGTAACAGGATACAGTTCCTGTCTCATGTCCCAGATACTCAATACCCCATCCTGCCCTCCTGCTGCCAATAGGTGGGGCTGGGTGGGGTGTTTATCAACACACAGCAACGACACTCGTTCACCAGAACTACACATAAAATAATAATACCAGTATAAAAGTATAATAACACTCAAACAGATGACATTTTGAGTGCTAGTGCTTCATTAGATTTAATGAACAAATTTTGAGATTCATAAAATAGTCTTTTTAATAGCCACACATATTTCTATTTTTTCACTTGAAATGAAACTGCTTACTAAATAAAACAGACGTGTTGTTAAGTCTGAGCCCCGGTCATAAACACTGCTGCATTTGAAATGTTAATCAATTAGCCATATTATACTACTACATGAGAAATTTCTGCAATTTGATTGGCTTAGAGCAGTGGTATTTCAGCTTAATTTGAAATACCTACATGTAAAAATTGCGGGTAGTAGTGTAAACAAAATTAATAATACCGGTAGCATGATTTGTATGTGATACTTGTTATTAATACCACTTGTGATATTTCAAAATTGTCTCAAATTATGTATGACAATTTTGACATATCACTTGTGGTATTTATGCCAAATATCACCACAAATCATTCTCTTACCTATACTAATATTTGTTAACTCTCTTTCTTACCCTCACTTCCTCTTTTTTAACCTCTTAACCCTCAGAGGTCTTTATACCCAAGGGAGCTTATGATTTAGTGGAGCAGAAAAAGTGCTTCAAAAAACGCTATTCATAGCAGTGCTGAGCAAAGTACATTTTGCGTTTACTGGTTTTAGCCTAATTAGAAAAAATTCATTTTTTCTGAGGGAGGGGGGTCTGTTTTTTCAATCATCATAATTTAAACATCATAATAAATCGAGTTCACTTCAATACATCTGGAGGGGGCTTATTTACAGGTTTAGTTGTTGTTGTTGTTTACAGGAAAATGGACCAACCATAGCTGGGGGTGGGGGGGGGGGGTTAGGGCTTATAAGTGCCAGATTATGTACTGTATCTATTGATTTTACAGACCCATGGTAATGTTGTCAGTTTTTCTTCAAAAACAGTTCTTGAAATCAAACAATGTTCAATGTTTATAACTACCCTATACATTCACCACATTCAGATACTGGTGCACATTGATTTGCTACAATTTTCAGTTTTCCCTTGCATTTCTTTGGTAACGTGTCCGCTCACTCTTAACATTTTCAAAGCAAATATTAAGAAACATTTTTTGGCCACTTACAGTAGCATCGTTCTTCCAGGTTTATCACTTGTTTGCCTCAGATCCCATACTTTCATTTGCCCACCAAATGTTACAGCGGCTACCTCGTGTGTTTTTGTAAATGTTATACTGTTTATGGTTGTGCTATCTGCTGCTTCTAACAAGAAATATACAAAAATAATATTTTTAAGTTATGAATAATATATGAAAATCATATATGAGAACTGCGGGGTGAAGAATTATTATATGAAAGGAGATCATCGCAGTTTTAGATACAACTTTTGCAGTTGTGGAAAGAAAGCCTGAAAAAATTCAGGCTTGTACAGGATTCGAACCCTTGACCTCTGCGATACCGGTGCAGCGCTCTACCAATTGAGCTAACAAGCCAACTGGGAGCAGGTTGTTGAATTGGTTTGTTATAAACCCGTGAAAGGATGATGATGAAGTTATGAATATATGAAAATCATATATGAGAACTAAGAATTATGAAAAAGATCATATATGATGAACTTTTGCAGTTCTGGGAAAGCCTGAAAAAATTCAGGCTCTTAATTAAATTCATACAGTTTTGTTTAAAAAGAACATTTGGGCTAAGTTTATTACAGGCTTCATACAAAAAATTACAACCATTTTTCAAGGACCACCGACATATAATTTCACAGATTGTACAAAAATGCACATGCCCAGCTATTCTAAAAAGGCTTTAAGGCTTGAACTATCTGCTTCACCAACTTCGCTACATTTTTCAGTTCACTTGTCTTAAATTCATAGTTCATTTTTGCATAAAACATTGATTCATGATTTATATATATTCTGTCTTGGACAATTTTGTTTAAGGCCACTACATTTTGAAGTTTTTTTCAAGGACTTTCCTAGAAATTTAAGGCCTTTTTAAGGAACAATGGAATTCAAAGACTTTTCAAGACTGTGTGGTAAGAGGGGGGAGTGGAGGGCTTGTTAGAGAGAAGGGTAAACATATTTTGACTGTTTAAAAGGAGGGCTTAAAGGTGTTCTTACCTATTGTTCTTACAGGGTGCCTCTGATCAAGTTTGAGAAAGTTGATTTGTCCATCCTCACCAGCAGTTACAGCTTCTGATGAGCTTGAGCTTACTGCAAGACATGTGCATGAACATGCACGACCTCCAATATGATGAAGCATGTCCCACTCTTGCTGGGGTCTAATGGCCTGGAATAACAAAGAAACCTTACTTTCGCTATTTGTAAATAGAGGCCAAAATAAAAGATTGAAACAGTGTTAAAATTTGATTGGTGTAAAATAAACATCTCCAAATACCACCATGCAATAATGTCACCCAAAGAAGTTTCATTTATTTTGAAAGATCACACCATAGGAACCAAATAGGAACCAGTTTGTACAGCATACTTAAATGTACCAAGTGAACTACAAAAGGCATCAGTTTTGCTTTGTTTTGTCTTTTCCCAGAAGCTCAAAACTTGGAAATGCATCATGTCGCTATGAGTGAAATCTTAGAGTGAAAGGGAAGAAGGTGAAAGGTCTTCAATTATTAGCAATAATAATTATAATAATCTAAATAACACCTTCCCATCAAGTTATTGAAAATGGTATTTTTGAACCACAGGGAAACTTTTCATAAATAGTTTTGGTCATGAATGGCATAGCCTCCCCACAGATGTCCTTTGGGGTTCGTTTGTCACGCATTCATTTCTCCCCCACGGGGGAGAAATGAATGCGTGACAAACGAACCCCAAAGGACGTCTGCGGGGAGGCTATGAATGGCTAAGATCAAGATTAGAATTTTTTCCTACAGCATATTCACATTGTTTATAATATACCTTGTTTACCCCTTCCCCCCCACCCCAATCCTTGTATAACCTTCGTTTCTAATTTACCCTGTGTATTACAATCGTTCCAAGAGAAATAGGCCACTTCCGAGTTCCAAAAACCCTCACTTTCAAAATGAGGCTAGGTGCCCAACCTTTCTTGTGAAAATGTGTTTTACTTGCATGAGAATGAAAAATGATTTCCATATCAAAGGCTGAGCAGCTACCTTCGTTTTGAAAAAGAGGCTCGGGGGAACTCGGAAATGGCCTATTGAAGACAATGTTGTATTATGGGCAATGCAAAAATGGTGAATTACTGAATAATCAAGAATCAAAGCAAAAAAGATGTTAAAATAATCCATGTACTAGCCTGGTGTTTTGAGCTGTATTGAAACAAATTAACACTGCCTGTTGAGGATGAGACCAAGATTCTTACTGAGTCAATACACTGAAACAATTAAAAACAGAAATCAATAAACTGAAGAAGTGATCACAGGGTGAAAAGATCGCGAGGAGAGGGAAGGAAAAGGGTGAGAGCCTGTAGACAAACATTTGGAACCGCCAAACATTTGGGATCAGTCAAGTAGGGTTTGTTCGCATTGCAGTAATCAGGTTAGAAGAAACCGAACTAGATTTTCTTTAATTTAAGCCAGCTTTCAAGAAACTGAGCACAACAATGATAGCTTTCAGTTTTTTAAAAACAGAATGTCTGCATCACCTCATGGTTCCGTGGCAAGGTAATGCAATGGCTGAAATGCCAGCTTCTCTCATTGCTTCAACTTGATCATCGATAATACTTTGTAATGGTGATGCAATTACAATTCCATGTTCTTTTCTGTTCGTTTGACTGTCACTGGCGTGAACAACTGCCAAATTAAACTTTTCACAAAACCCACGGGAAGAACCGCAGCAACATCCTTTTGCTCCAGTAAACCCAAAACAGCCTGGCGCTGCTCTTCTTAGCACGCATTTACTTGAAAATTGTGACAAACAGTCATCATAGTCTACACTCCGATACAAAAGATAATAATGGTCAACATGGTCAACACAAGCTTGTAGTATGACTCCATCCCAAGTCCACAAGTCGGCAGTGCTTTCAATCAATGTTTTTTTTATACAAATTACAACAATTATTATAAAGTAAGTGTCGTGGTTAGCATGTCCAGGCAATGACAAATGCTTCTACTCGCATGACGCAAGCATGATGAGTCATTGACATGACGATGACAGGATAATCGCTGTTCAGCCAACCGTAATTTGCTTTTCTTGGGACAAGCAAGTTTCAGTGGCTCCCAAAGATGTCTACAGACTGTCAATTTTCTTCTTCCCCCTCCACTACCCCCTTGTACCGGCGGTCAATACATCCGCTGCGGTTTATATTTTATCACACGCGCTTGACGGACTTTCAAGAGAAAAACAGAGGGTCTATGAACAGGTTAGAAGATTGTGAGCTTACCTCCCTTCTCATAGTGGAAATGATGGCGGACTCGGCGGACTGCGTAATCTCCGGTTGCTACTATTTCTAATCAGGTGAACTGGGTCATTCTAATGGCATCTCAAGTTAACTGTGGTTTTATGTTGTTCAATATGATACCTCTCCAGGAGGGGAAATTTCTTAACTTTGACTGCTCTGTGCCTCCATCTAAAAGGGGAAATTTAGCACCCTCACAGGGTGCGTTGCAAAGTCCCCTCTGATGATAGGTGCAATAGCACCATCCAGTGTGGGACAGTTCAATTCTTTGACGAGTATTAGTTGAAAGTAGTTATAATTTAAAGTATAAAAATTGAAGCTTAAATTATCAAGTTAGATAAATAAAGCTAGATTTAAGACTGTTCTCATGTTTATGTCAAATATTCAGAATGCACAGTATCTTACAAATACCACTGAGGTACCTGCAGAAAGTCTAATCAAAGTTTAGTTATTGTATTAACTTCCTAGATGTACACATATAATAATAGGCTTACCTCAATGTCTGTAACATCGCCTGCATAATTTGTTTCACACAAAAGTTTGGGTTCGTTCGTTACGTTATAGGCTGCTGCCGAATCTCCAGGTGGCTCCTCGACTTTCCAGACGCACAATTTATTAATCTAAGGTGGGAAAATGAAACGGGAAATCGAAAAACCTTTCAAACGTACGATTCGTGTGCTGTCAAACTGTTGAGTACGCTGTGATTTTCTTTGTTTCACAACCCGATTACTTGCCTGGTCATCCCAGCCTCCCGTCACAAAAGTCTCAGATGGATTTAACTGTCCTTGTACTTGAGGCATCCATCGAACTTTTGAGATCTTATGGCCTACATATTCCGCTACAGTTTCTCCAACATTCGCCATTGCAAAAGATTTTCTTTGCACATGGCGCGCAAACCACTGATTGAAAAGTTCCAGTCCCCTATCTTCCTACATACAAACCAGATTGAATTACATGAAGAAAATACTCCTCAAACTACATCTGGGGACCACTAGACATCGCAGGCTCTGAACGGTTTTCAAGATGGCGTCCTTCGAGAAAGCTAAAAAGTCCTATCAGAGATTTCATAAGGAAAGAGGACAGGTTAGAGAGGAAAAGACAACTTTAAGTGATAAACTTGTCTTTAACAGGCGGCAGTATAATATTGAGCGAGAATTCCATAAACAGTCAAGAATTAATACGAAATCCATCAGGAAATTGGGTAATTTCAATTTTCAGTGGACAAATAAAACCTTGTACCCTAATAATTTAAACAATATCGCATTCTTTTTTACACTTTTCAATGGCTATAGATATCATTAGTTATCTGTAATAACACCAAAGACTATTTCTCATCGGAGCCCGAGAAAATAAATGTCAAATTTCAGAAGAATTGTGAAAACACAGGTAAAATTCTGAAAATTTCATGTGTAGGGTGCAATTTTGTGAAATTTGAAATATATTTTCTCGGGGTCTAATAAGAAATTTTCTTTGGTGTTATTACAGATAACTAATTACATCTATAGCCCTTGAAAAATGTAAAAAAGACTGTGATATTGTTTAGATTATTCTGGTACAAGGTTTTTGTCCACTGAAAATGAAATTACTCAACTTCCTGAAGGATTCCATCTTAACATGTTTACATATTGCTCTGTTTCTTTATATGGTTTTTTTCATTCTGTTAATGTTCCTTTTCTTTTCTGTGAGCTTATTTTTCCGTAGAATATAGTCATCCTCAACATAATTACCTGCATTTCTGAGTCTCAGTTCGATAAAATAATAAGCTATAGTTCAAACAGGGGCAGCATCTGTTAATGCAAATAGTTTACGGTAAGAAAAAAAGTAAAACTTCCTGTCAATTCTGTTGTGTTCCATGCAGTTAAAAAGCAGAAAACAGTATGGTCTACTTGAGAAGCACAAGGATTATGTATTAAGAGCAAGGTGAGAATTAACATAAATAGAGCCCAAACCTAAGAGGGAAGGTACTCAGTGGCAGATTCAAACCATCAGATGGGGGGGGGGGAGGCAGTCATCCAGAGCCTGAGAGATAAGGAGGGGGTCTCCAAAAAAATATTTGTTAGCCCTTTGGGCCTCAGTTTGGTCTAAAAATAAAGAAGGGCCCCTCCCCTGGATCTGCTACTGGTGCTTCCTATTGAGAATTTAGGGGTTTTGTGATCATACCTAAAAGGGTTGAAATTTGGTCATGGCAAGATTGGACACACGTACAGTATGCAGCAAATGCCGACTAGCAAGTAAATGAGATAGGTAATGCTGTGAAAGGTTTGAACCCGGGAGTCATTTCATAAGGAGGTTGAGTAGGATCTTCCGGGTGAGCATAGTCCTGAAACTGTGATAGAATATTCTTTATTGTAACTTAAAATTGTAGTTTTCCTTCCTTTTCCTTTTCCTTTCCTTTCTTTTCCTTTCAATTTATTTTTCTTTTAACTGGTCCGCCTAGATTAGCAATTGCTATTTTGCGGGCCAGTCTATTGTAACCAATAGTCTTATGAAATAAAGTTGAAGTTGAAGTTGAAGTTGAAGTGACTGACGCTTCAACGACCTGTGCATGCTCCACCTAGTAAGCAGTGAAGCAAGCAATGTTTTGAAATGCTCTCAAAACAGTCGCTATTCCTAAACGTGAAGTCCTGTTAAAGACTTGGGATATGTTAGAAAGCATTTCACATTATTTGTTACACTAAAAACCCATGTGTAAAAGCCTACATTTTTAAAATCTGGCAAAAGAGGTTCTTGTATTTTCGGGTAGTTATTGGCAGTTTAGCCTAAGTAGGTTCTCAGTTTCTAAGAAGGGGATAGTTTCAGGGTTGGGTTAGAAAAATACATAAACTTGGGTTTGGTCCTGAAATAAACAGTATTTTATCCACAACAGTTCTCTGCAAACCTCTTTTATTTTGATCTTAAAAAACGTTTACAAAAAACAGAAAAAAGTAAAGTAGTTCAGGCAAAAAACTACTCGGAATAGTCAAAAACTAAACAAGCTGAGTAGTTACAACAATAATTACATTCTATAGGGTTGTGACACATGAAAGATAAATAGGAAAATAACTTAAATTTTGAAGAAAAAAGTAATAAAAGCAATGAAGTTCCATGAACTTTTTACTTTTATTTACATTATATAAATTTGCAAATCTCCATGGTAATGGTTCAAACTGTCTATCATAATTTTACTGTAACCCAGATATACGAACCTGTGTGATCTTGCGTGGCTAAACAGGTTTTCATATTTTTGGGTATTTAAATGGCAAATTTCTGCCAACGGGTTTTAAACCACCAGGTTCTTACATGCAGGTTTTTACTATATCTTTATCTTTTTGGGGTATATTATAAATCAATTTAATGACCAGCTGACAGTTAGTTTACTAGCTCAATTGGTTAGACTACTGGGCAGGTATCACAGAGGTCAAAGTTCAAATCTCGGCTGAAGGAGGCGGCATGGGCAAGTGTTTAGAGCTCTGGACTTGCCCGTATTGAGAGTCAACTGTATTTTTTAATTTATGCATCTTTTTTCTTTTATTTTAGAGATTACCACAGCAAACAAAACAGGCTTAAAATCCTCAGAGAGAAGGTAACTGATTTGCAACCCATTTCTTCTTTGAATTTTAAAGCTATAGAAACTGTAAATAGAACTGTAAATAGGGGCTGTTGAAGGAGGTTAAGTCAAACTTTGCAGTTTCAATTTCTGAAAATTTCTTTCCATTGTGCTGTTCTATACCCAGTGTGCGAGAGACTGTTTTAAATCACAGTTAAAAAAGTTTAAGCAAAAATGCCTTTAAAGCCCTTTTGAAATTTAATTTGGCCAATGTCACATCTAAACCCTACATTTGTTGCACCTTATCTACAGAAGGCCTGTCTAATAATCTTCCTCTTAGATGTTTGAAAGATTTTGATTGCCTGCTTTGGATTTCTATTGTTTTGAGAATATTACATGTAATATTAATTTACACGATTTAATAACCTCGATTTGTTTTTTAAATTGCCTTAGGCATTGAACAGAAATCCAGATGAATTCTATTTTAAGATGATCAGGAACAAAACAAATGTAAGTACTAGCTCATTTTTTTTGTCTTTTTTCTTTTTGAAGAATGTCTCTTTTAAGCTCTTGTATGTGACTAGAATGATTTTAAGTAATGACAACGCTTCATACCAATTGAGAAAAATAGCCGTATTTTTAATCTTTTCACTTTTACAAATGTAATAGTGGGCATGGTAAAAAAATTCAGAAGCATTCCAATTTTTTTTGCAAACTCCTCAGAAAATTAGTACCATGTGAAAGTACTGCTGAAGAGGTTTGATTTGTGTGGTAACACCATTGGATTTTGTCCACAGATTTAAAAGTTGTAGGGAGAAATTGTTCCATCATAATTTGGTCGAGGAGCAAAAAAAGTTGACATTTTTGCGTGGTTATGATAAAGCAGCATAGAAAAGCCTTACAGTGGGATCATTAGGGGGGATTAAATTAATAGCCCGTCACAAGTTTTTTTTTTCCAACTCTTCAAAATAAATTCAACTGACATTATACAATGAATTTCAGAAAAATTATTATGTCTTTAAAGATGTCTTTAAAGTGAAACTTTAAAGACGTTTTTATAACTGTGTGTATCTCAATTTAAGGATGGAGTACATACCATCAAAAGAAAAAAGAAGCACACTGCTGATGCACTAAAACTGATGAAAACTCAAGATCTTAATTACATCAACTCCAAAAGATCCATGGAGGCAAAGGTAACTCATATAGTTTTTATCAGTGGTGTACTTAGAAAAGAAAATCAAGAGGCCTGTGTTGCTTGATGGACTAAATATGAAGAATCTTTTTCATTCTCAACTTTTCTTTCCCTTTTTGCCTTTATGCTCTGCTCCTTACTTCATACAATTTTTGTTTTACAGAAGATGTCAACCCAACTTTTCGGCCTTGTGCTTTGTGCTTCTCCAAAACACAGCAAAGCCTAGCCTGTGCCAGCGACAAAACTAAACCCTGATAAGTAACGTCTATTGCTACAAAACAGCGCTGAAATCCTTGTTTTCAGGCCCCCACCTGTGTACCAGGATTTGAGACTGTACACACCATGATTGGCCTGTTGAAAAAGCCATTGTTGATTTGCCAATCAGGCTGAAGGGAAATGCAAAACACACTTCAAGAAATTTGTTGAGTCCATATGGGTCCCAGAACAAGGATCTTGGTGCTGCTTCTCTGATGTTACTAATTGGGGTTAGATTTTGTCTGCGATACAGGATAAGCAAAACCCAGAGAAAACTCAGCTTCAGAATCAGCATTTTCCCCTTAAAAAATTTCATATTTGGTTTGTTTTTCCAAAAGTTATGTGAATCACTATTTAATCAATAGGAAAGTGTTCTACCTTAGTGGTTTATTACTTTTTTTTTTTTTAAACCATTTGTGATTTCTTTTGTGAATGACATAAACCTTTGGGACTGGTAATTATTTAGATGTGATGTAAGGGGTAATGCAGGGTCAATGATATTGCTTTTGTAAAACATAGAGAAAGGGGTGTGTGAGTGGGGTGTAGGGGGTAAGCTCAAAATTTGTCCTTCAAAACGGGAAAATTCGGTAGAATTTGTACATTTGAACCAGCTCTCTCTCACTCTCTTCAAAGTACTGACAGGTCCCTTATATTGTCTTTTTCTTATTACCAGAAAATAGAGAAGCTACAATCCAGCCTTCATTTGTTAGGAGAAAAGGATGATTCTCAGCCTACAAACCAGCATATAGTTTTTGTGGACAGTAAGAAAGAAGGTAAACACCAAAGTTGCATTCTGAAGTTGAAGTTTCGTTATGGGGTGTTCAGCTAATACAATACAGTTAGGGTAACTCTCTTAAAGGTGTCACCTTTAGGACTCACAGTAATTGTCCGCCTTTTAGAGACTTACAGTAAAGGGAATAAAGAAAGGTACAGTCAAGCCTCTTTAATACGGACACCAAAGAGACAGAACCAAGTGTCCCCTTTACAGAGGTGTCCGTGTCATAGAGGGAGGGAATGTATGATTTTTGGCATTTCTGGGACCTAACTAACTGTCCGTAATAGAGAGATGTCTGTATTATAGAGGTGTCCGTGAGGAGAGGTTGGACTATAGATACGGTACCAAGGTGTCCATGTTATAGAAGTGTTCGTTAAGAGAGAGTTTACTGCAGTTGTCTTAGTTTTAGTCAACAAGACTGAAAATTGAAGTTTTTCAATAGAAAGTGCAAGGTCCTCTTAAACTTTTGTAACTTCATAAAATGTAACATTACTTACATACAAGTGATAAGTATCGTTTTAATTAAGGTTATTTTTTCGTTGCTGAAGAGATTATTGCTTCATCTGCTGTTTAACACTTTCCTTACTGCCTGCAGTCATTGATCTGCTTTACAGTAGACAAAACTCTGTCTTGCTGCGGACAATGCTCCGCTTGTGCACAGTTTTGTCTCTGTTTTGGCAGCTCTGTCTTTCCCAGCAAATTACACAACAAACAATCAGGCTGGTTTAATGAATTTGGAAGGTTTGAAAGTGATTTGGGTTCTATAAGACAGTGTATACGTGTTATCTTCTTTAAACACTTAGATCATTTGTTTTTGTTTTAGCTCAATCATTCAATGCTGCAGCATACTTTGACACCGTACCAGAACTAGTTTCAAGAACATACAACAGACCCAAAAAGGAAACACTCAAGAATCATTTAATTCAAGCGCCAGATGATCAAATTGTCCAGGTATTCAAACACCGAACAAAAATGATCCATGAATTAAGGCATGCTTACAATGAAAAGTAGAGTTGTTGTACCTGAAAAAACTCCAAGCAAAAGCAGATGCTAACGAAAATGGACTATAACTTTTAGTGTGATTTGACAAATAATTAGGCCAATAATGGTGGAAATATATATTTTTTTAAAATCCAATATGGACCTACAAATTCTCCAAACTGGTCTCTATATATTTCTATAAAGAGTAAGTTGAGAGAATGTGATAAAAGGTCAAAGCATTTCCCCGTAGGTGATTATTTTATTAATTCTCACGATCTATTCTCTTGATTGTGTATTGTTATTGTTAAGAGAAAATTGATGTTTGTCACTCTTGGGACTTTTAACCCTTTTACTGCTAAATGTGGCCAAAGGCAAATTTCGACCAAATTTCATTCCTAAAATTTTGAGAAATAATTAGTATCATGTGAAAGTACAGGCAGAGAGCTTTCATTTGAATGGTCACATCATAGGATTTCATCCACAGACTCAAAAAGTTAGAGACACCTTACAAAACTCCATCAAGCACTCTGGCAGTGAAAGGGTTAAGGCTTGACCTAGGACAAGTTGACTCCCTTTCCCCTTGAAAAGTGAGCAACAAAAACGAAAAGACCACACTGGATTTCACGAAAGTGAATTTTAAAAGTGACAAGATTTCCCATCTTACATTTACCGATACACCATTTTACCGGTTGTGGGCTTAGCACCTGAGGCTTCGTGTGAATGTGAGGCTGAGGTTGACCTTGTTTTGATACAAACCTCTTTTGTTTTCTTATTGAAATTATGCTTGAAAAATACTAGTTAGCATGAGAACAACATGATTTAGATTTTACATAATAAAACAGGAAGGGTCGTATCAAAACAAGGTCAACTCTAGCCTCGTTTCCATCTATGACTGTAAAATGGCCTATTTTCTTTGTGTGGGGCTCAGATGAGGGTTTACTTTGGATTAGTACAGTAGTACGTTCCCTTAACTTTTCGTTACCTACTTGTTTTCCTTTTCTTTTAACGGTGATTTCTAATTTCAGAAACTTGAAAAGCAGAGACGCCGTTGCTACGATGAATTAAGAGAGAGAATCGAGCGAGAAAAGAAAATCAGAAAGATTTCAGAAGAGCTGGAGCTTCAAAAAAATCTCATGGTGTGTAATACTGGTGAGGGGTAACACAAGAATGGGACGGGGAAGTTCGTCTGAAAATTCAAATTTAACTCCTAAAAGCGTGGAAGCGCCAGATGACGCGCTTATGTTTTCGCGTGCCTTTCACTTACGCGTGAGAGCCTGAAACAGGCTACCCTATCAGTAAAATATCTTTCTGTACCATGATAGTTGCTTTGAGTTTAATAATTCTTAGTGAGTAGTTATATCTCTTTTAGTATTATATTTTTTACAATAACTGAGCGAATCCTCGTGTGCTGATTGGTCGAGAGCAATGGTCTATGAGAGTATAGATCATGAAAATGACGTAACATGTCAAGCAATGCTGGTTTTTTTGTTTTTGGTCTTTCGTGAAAAAAAAATCTTATTGTAAAAAACAAATCGATCATAACTCATTGGGTTATTATGTCACCTTCGTTAAATAAAGAATATTGTATCGCATGGTCTGCACTCTCATCATCATCATCATCACCATCAAGTCTCATCGCGCAGTAGGCGTATAAGACCTCAACTTTGCAGTGAGTTTTGAATATTTTATGGCGTCATTTCTATGGTCCATAAGAGTGTAGGCCATGGAAAATTTTTAAGTAATCGTTGTCAATGTTGTTGTTCTAGGGAAAAGGAAGACGGGTAAAGATACAGAAAGACGAGAAGTCGGCGCCAATATACAGATGGAAAAAAGAGAGGAAAAGATAACAGAATTTAACACGACTATCACTGTTATTTGAACTAAAATAAAGTTAGTGGAGTTAGTAACCTTGTTTTTAATGTGCTGAAATTCTGAATGCTTTTTGATATGGAAATTTTCTTGAAGCAAAAACGGGTGAGGTACGAATAAAATGTCTTCTGTGTCCACACTAATCCTGAATAAATTTGCAAGGGCATCGCTTTGAGAGAAATCACATGTTTATCATTGCGTCTGCGTTTTTGTAAGGTTCCCTTTTGAAAAATCAACTTTTTCTGTCCACGCCAAAACACCAAAAAAATGTCCACTTTGAAGAGAGTTTTCCGGTGTAGAATTTATCCGGATTAATGATTAGCCTCACTACTGTAGACGGTAAGCCTAAACTCTAAGCTAAAAGGGTAACTTTTATTTTCTTCTGGAGTTTACTCCCGTTCGATCTGTGTTCAATCATGCTTTTGACTTTTTTCACTTCTTTCAGAGATGAATCATCAATAAGAGCGAAAATTTTGCGCGATTGACTCTTTAACTTTTTTAGCTCTTCGAAAATGAATGCTGTTTCTTTATGATTGTTTTTTTGGTTAATAGGAACTTCTAAAAGTCATTGAAATATAGTTCTGTAGCCTCAAGCATCAGTCAACTGCCAGCGAGCAAATCACGAGAAGCAACAACGGGGTCACTCGTGGGCCGCGAGCAGGCTCAATTGTGCGGCCAGTTGCCGTTGAGACTGGAATGGACCTTGTGCATCTCCTCTCGGGCGGAGTGAGGGGGGGGGGGGAGGATAGTCAAGGATTGTTTGAGAATGTGCAAACAAATGAAGCCTAGTCTACCACAGAAGAGGCGTTACCGTCCAGCACTCCACACCCAGCGCTTGCCTTCGTTGTCCTGAAAAACGCGAAAAAATAGCGTCTGTTCTGCGGGCTATGAAATACAGCCTTAAATTCGGGAGAGCATTAATTAAGCACGCTGATTCGCGGCATGTCTGCAACGCAGATTCTTGCAAAGTCAGAATCAGGTCAGGTTCAAATGTCTCTTAAAAGTCAGTATGTATCATTTTCATTATAATACTTAGGTACAGTTCCCTCAAAACAAGAGGAAATCAGAATTTTGCTCAGTTAGCAGCGTTAAGTTACTCAGCGTTCAATAACTTTCCTTTCCCGAAATTTTTAAATGTCAGTTTGAAAAACATGCCTCTACAGAGTGTTAAGGGGCTACCCACACTTGGAGCCCGGGAACCAATGCCTGGCAACCAGCAAAATTAACTCGGGTGTTGTGTTCACACCTTGAGTACCCGATATTTTGACTGTGTACATGGTTACTTCATTTCGTCCTGTCAGACGCCATTTTGAAACATAAGCTTAGCGGCGAGCAAAAATTTTTTTTGGGATCACTTTCTTGGGAACCAGGCTGAAATCAGCAACCAGGCCTCCTGATGGGTTGGACGGCCTGCGCCCACATCCCCTGACGGTTAGAAGTGTGAAAGCAGGGGTACAGGGTACGGAATCTTTTTAAACTTTCGCGGGAAAGTTATCTATTAACTTTTTGTTTTTTACGCGGGAGAGAAATTAAATTATCTCACAAAAACGGTGTGAACACAGGAACCAGGTGCCCACTTTTGCGCTCGAGTACAAGGTCTCCAACTTGTACTCGGACACCAGCACCGCGCAAGCCGAATTCTCCAGTAGGTCATTAGAAAAGGGTGGTTCACATTAGTGCCCAGCGAGTACCGTTCTCGGGCACCGTGTCCGGACACAAAGTGTGAACGCTACCTAAGGGTCAGAGTCAAGAACAGAGGCAAATATAAATTACTTTATTTTAGTTATTGGAACAACTTGGAATTCCACACTATACAAACACAACATTTGGTCTTCGATGATGATCCCCCCAAAACTCCACGATTTTAAGTCCAAACTTGTGTAGGCCACGGCTTAGCCCTGCGATAACCACGTTCTTTCCTCTCCTGTCCACGAGAACTTTTTCCCTGTTCGACAGCGATTTTTCTTTCTGCTTTTCTTGCGCTGGAGTCTACACCACTCGTACACCGCCATCTTGGCGTGCTTGTTTGACACGTTTTAGTGTGTTCAACTTTGGCAAAGAATTGGTTCATCTTTTGTCTGGTCTCGTTTTCGATTTCTTCCTGAAACAAAATTAACGACCACCCACTCAATCGTACATGTTTGATTCAGTTTGATGGCAAAATACATAATGTGCAAAATAGATCATTTCGGTGTCAATAGCCGGCTCTTCACAGACTTCAATGAGGGTGTGTGAACAGACCACGCGGTGTCAATATTATCTTTGATAAATATGGAATCAGTCAAAATGCGAACGCGTTAGGGTCAAACAACTGCTTGCCGTTTTTTTGGCTTTTTACTTTGTTTGCGGTTTGCTTGTTTAATACACATCCCGCTTCTAGCGTCCATTCAGGGAAAAGGATTTGAACCCAACCACTAGCTCATTGATAATTTGAAGGCACCTTAAGATTATTTTCAGTTTCAAATCTAGATAGGTTATTTCAGCCAATTAAGAGATGTAAACAGTGTCACATCAACTTTGCGGGATCTTCATCTCCCATGTTTAATACCTTAGCCTGAGAAAACTGCCAGCGTTTCGGGAAGCGCCACCACTGGTTTTCCCGCGAAATGACCGTGAGGCGCTTTCCATTTACCAAGAAATTCCGGAAATTCCGGTTGGGATGTATTCTAAATGGAACATATTTTTGAGCGTTCCACCTGAAAATACCAGGGAATAACTGGAAAATTGAAAAGGTAGAAGTCCTGTTTTCCCGTTGGAAACTTTTCCGATGGAAATGCACGTTCCATTTACGAGTTTTCGCAAGGAATCCCCAGTTCCAGGCTATTCAAGGCGATATCTGTGCCTCCATCTGAAATTCTGGTAATGAGAGCATAAACGAATGGAACTTCACGTTCTTTACTCGATGAACCTTTCCATGGAAGTTTCCCAAAGTTTTTAATAGGCTGATTTAGCAACACAACGGGAACGTCAGTTGACCACGGCGCGCGCAAATCAAACAACTGGCTTGACCAATGGCAGAGCGGCAAATTGAGCACCGGAAGTCGTGTTTAGTCCTTTCCGCGCGCTTTCCCGTCGTGGAAAGCGCCAGACGTCTCAGGAACAAGCGAAGAAATTCCATACTGATTACATGTCATTAGCAGGGGAGTGCTTTTGATTGGTCGTGCCACGTGGGAAATTTGCCTCAATCAATTAAAAGCACTACCCAGATTTGGGTAGTGACATATCATCAGTAAGAAATTTCTGCCCTCGCTCCTCAGACGTCACTTTACGGGGAAACCAGTGGGGTGTCGTGAAATGTTGGCTGTTTTCTAAGGCTAGCCTTACCTTTGATATTCCTTTTTGAGGAAACTGCAGACCATCAAACTGAAACAGTTTCACGCCTAAACTTCGTGTCCTGTTCAGTTTCTCCTTGCCTCTGCTTTTTTCAAGACAATTTTCTTTTTTACTTTTCGTTTTCGATATCTTGCGTCGTTCCTTAAAATGCACAAACCTGCAACTTTCTGGTGTTTTTACTCCCAGACTACTTTCAGTCAAACGGCTAGGGTAATCCGAGCTAAGAATCGGCGATCCGCTCTCGATCTTTGTGGTAGTACCTAGGGAAGTTGAACGGTCATCAAGCTTTGAATGGATCCCCTCGCACAACTGTCTCCTGATTGACTGGTTTTCTAGCTCAATCTTGTGGTTTTTAATTATAAGATCTCCCGAAGTCGAATTAAGATTCTGCGCAGATCTGCACCTAAGGGCGACGGTTTCTTCAGAGCTTATACCCATCTCACTAGCCGAAGATTCTTTTGGTGAATCACTGGAATAAAATCTTTCACTACCAGCTATTTTTGATATAACTACCGGTGTATTACAGTTTAAGTTTCCCTCACTTTCGTCATGTCCTGATTGAAAGACCTCACAACTACTCTTGGATGTGTACGAACGCGCTTTGCTGCTCGCTTCTTCGGCTAACTTCAAACTTTTTTCGCTATCTGTAAGGAGTGATTCTTGGCCCTCGCCAGCTATTTGCGCTTTCTTTGTAAGCCCATATTTTACATTAGATGCACAACAATATCTACCAGACTCTGTTTTTTCTTGAATCGTCTCTGTTCTCTTTCCTAACAAGGCCCCATTTTCAAACTCGCCGCATAATATATCCAGCAGAGTAAGACCAGCTGGTTTGCTTTTCTTCTTGGGATCCTTGTTCCTCTGTCCTTTGATTCTGGTTCGCTCTTGATAGCGTCTTTGAACGTTCTTATTCATCTCATTGCAGTTCTGTATTGATTTTGATGGTGTTTGAATCTGGCGATCGGTGAGGGATTTATTTGTGTTGCTGGTTTTGTTGTCTTCGTTCAAATCACCTGGTAAAGAAATACCGAAGAGTGTTGAATTAGAAAAACGAGTCAGATATCCATCTTACTTTGTCTCCAGGAGCTTTGATTTAGCCTGAAAAGAAACAGCGCCGGAGTGAAGGAAAGGGGACAAAATTCGCCTGTGCAAAGTTTGTTTATCCGCTCGCTCCGGGCTTCTCCAATCAAAAGGGAGGAGCCCGGCCTGGCGGGACAAGAATCCGGGTTGGTCTTTCTGCGCGCGCGCAATTTATCTTCTAACTTTGAATCGTTTCCCACAAGTTTTCGTTTCTTGTCATTTGTCATGCTCATAAGGTGTGACAATGAGTAGAAATTGATTTCTCTCGAATATGCGAAGTTTTTCGATGCCTACGCACGTAGCAACTTTAACAATTAAGATGTTCCCAACGACACTACAGTGTAGCAAGGTTGAGCAAACGAGAAATTCATCATGTGTACGGGGGTTTTTTGCTCGCAAATCTTTTCTCGCAGTCTTGGTAAGGAGAGGCCCAGAATGTGTCTACTTGCTCTAAACAAAACATTTTGATTAAGGAAAACTTTTGCAAGGACTTATGCTTTTGGTGAGTATGACGGAAAACAGCATATTAAAGCGGGAAACAGTTTTAAAACCGCTCTCAGGCTTATACAATCCAAAAAGCTATTAACCAACCTTCTATGTTAATATGCGTTATGGAACCCGTTTCTCTCTTATCTCCATTCGCATGGAATATCTCCCCGTATTGACTCCAACACTCTTCTTGACATTTCACAGGTGGTTTTATGGACATCTTGAACACGTGCGTTTCTTCCCGCAGTCGATCAAGACATTGTTTCTTTTCTTTTTCCAGACTTTTCATAAAAATTTGATGCCTGTAATCCTCTAGTGAAAAACCTTTGAAAAATCTCTCCGTAGAACTTTCCATATCCAACAGGTTTCCTTTAAGACTAAGAGCACATAACTGTAGAGGGCTCGAATCTTGACGATGTTCGTTCTGGTGACGTTATAGTCAGTATTTGTGACGTAGTTGCTGCGCGCATACAGCTAGACTGCACGCGCAGATAACATTGCGCTCCAGGCAGAAATTTGAGCGGATTTTATTTTATAACAGTTATTACTCAAGGGTCGAAACCAGTCTTTCATTTGCCTTGGTTTAGCATTGCTGTTAAAGACGGACCTCGGAGCGTGGCGAGTTGTAAAAAAGTTTCTCCGCAGAATTTAGTGTACGGAGTTTTTTTTGTGGGGCATATTAAAGAGTTGAAAAAAGTTTTCCAGTTTCTTCCATACACTGGCAGTTCTTCTTTTGTAACGCGTCCAAGATTGACGTACGATTTATCATCAGTATAAATTTTTATTGTTTCATTTCTCAGACATCTTTGCACACCTCTCCCACGCACCGATACTCTATTCTCCAGAATACGCGTCATTTTTCCTAACCCGAGATTGCGTAACAGAATTCAACGCTTTGGGTCTGATCTCAGGTTAAATTTGTTCGGGCTTTTTCAGGGGAGCGAGGGGCGTGTCTAGCGCTCCATGCCTGCTTCCCGCTTGCCTCCCTATCTAGTAATGCCTTCTCTCATCGTTAAGAACACAGTTGACAGGAGGCGAACCAAGATGGCTATTTTTCAGTCGTGGATGAGGGACTAGCGAGAAAAAAATCAAGCTGGTGGTCAGTGTGGGACTTGTACTTGGGGCCTCCCGATTTCACGTCCGTCAGTCTAAGCGACCGATCACGCTGCCTCGCAAGTACACTTCTCATGTACCTGTGTCTGAGAGGAAATGGATGAAGAATACCTTCACAGGAGGCTAGGTTAGAGCTGGGTTTGATCACCAGCCACTTTGTGCACCATAGTTCCTTTGCACACACGTTGTGAGGAGAAGGATGTAAAATGAACTTACTCAATGGCTGAAAATAGGGCAAGGCTGTGCTCTAGAAAACACTGAAGGGGGCTCAGAGGCCTGAAGCTAACAAATATAAGGTCCCGTACCCGGGGTGCCAGAGGCTTTTCATGCACGGTTTCCGGTTTCTGTCAAGTCTCGTGTCTTCGGCCTTCGGCCGAACACGTGTCGGCCAACGGTCGACAAAACGAAGCTCCCCGTCGCACGCCAGAAAAAACCTCTGGTACCCAGGGTAAAGGTCCCCAGCCTAGGATTGTTATCTAGAAATACTAAGATTTTTTAAAATCAAAGTAGTACCAGGGTCACAAAGCAATGCTAGAGCACAGCCTTGCTAGGCTAAAGGTTTTTACGCAATGAAAAAAACACAAGCCAGGAGATACTGTGATTCTGAACATTTTAATACTGGTCCTTCTGTATCTCATTTACATGGAGCTCATTTTGGCCTTCTCTTGCAGCCTTCTGTCTCGCTCCTCAGCAATAGTGAGCCTGATTCCTTTACCCCTGGGTAGGGACACGTGAGGCTTGTTTGTCTTGCCAATGATGAACACATTGCTGATTCGAGTGGCAAATGAATGACCTGTGTTGTCCTTCACGTGGACAATGTCAAATGAACCTGCAAAACACATGGTTAGAGTTGAGTACTTTGCCAGCACTGACAACTATTGGCATGCCAACAAACAATATTTTCATCAACAAGGTTGAAGCTTGAGAGATCTAAATACATGCAGGAAAGAGACGTAAAAAGAATTTTGTACATACTTTTAACTAAAAATATCTGCCTGGGTATGTCAAACAAAATTTTCACTGTGCCAGTGGTCACATATGATGTCCAGAAGACAAGAAACTAATACTTTTATTTTCCTGGGCCAGGTTGTTCAAAGCTGGGTTAAGATAACCCAGGGTTAGTGCAAAATTTGAATTCAGATATGAAAGCTTAAAAAGTAATTTCCGTTTAATTCGTTTTGTCAACAAGTTGATGATTGGATGTTGTTAAAAACAATGGAGAAAATTATCCAAGAAAATGCTTTTCAATAAACGAAACGGAAACCCGGATTAAATTTAACCCTGGGTTAAGCACTAATGGGCCTTCAAACAACTGGGCTCAGATGAATAAAATCTAACCTGAGCACATGTAAATAGTTGAACCAGGCCAATAAGAGATCATTATACGCTTCTGCGAAACTTCCCACCTACCCCTCCCCTCAGCCAACATTTTGCCCTAAGTAAGTAAGAGAAGTAAGTGTTTATGTTGGCTTTGGGGAGAGGTAGGTGGGCAGTTAACCATTGCAGCCAACAATCATACATGGACATGACATTGATTGAGTGTGATAACACTTTTGTCTTTTCCAAACAAAATGGTGACTTAGCTGAATGCATGCCTCCTTAGAAAGAAAAATTATTTGCAACTCCGGGTTTGAATACTGTCTGAGACTCGCCTTCTCTTTTTTATAATGCATTATTTTTTTGGTTAAAATTGCTCTTCCCTTATTCTACAGTAAAAGCCCATGATTAAGAATCTGGTGTTTTAAGAACCTATTACATTAAAATTTTCCTGTTAAGCCCCCTCTTTACAAGAACCTGTTTGGTCTTAAATTTGAAACAGGTTCTTATTTTCTAAAATCTATTTTAAAAAAAATTGGTATACTAGGGCAAATAAGATAAGTCAACATTCACGATCCTCTTTGGGGACATAAGTGCCTTATCACTCCAACTGCAATGCAAATGCCAATGTTCAGAATCACGCTGAATACCACTAAATACTCTTAGATTCAATACAAATTTTTTTTTCAGAAAATAATAATTTAATAAAACTTTCACAAGTGTAAAACAAGCGTAGCTATTGTTTTGGAGTCTAAAAACAATAGCCACACTTCTAAATTACACTTGTAAAATTTAAATGAAACTGGCCCCTGAATAACCTCACTTTGTGCTAATTACCATTTAAGTAAGAACTTGTTTAGGCTTACATGGGAAAATGCAGATTCTTACTGACCAGTATTTACTGTATTAACCGCATCTTTAAGAAACTTCAACCTACCAGCATGTCTCTCACGATGAGTAACAACACCGACTCGTCCCATGTTACGGCCACCAACAACCATGGCAAGATTTCCCGTGTCAAACTTGATGAAATCAATGATCTTGCCAGTCTTGATCTCCAACACAACAGTGTCGTGCACAGCAATCAAAGGGTCAGGGTAGCGGATAGTGCGGGCATCATGAGTCACAAGGTATGGGATACCCTTCGCTCCTGTAGCTACACGTCTCACTTGGCCAAGTTTGTACTGAATTATCAACACAAAACATATTTTATTAACATTGACATGGCACCTGCACAGTTTAAACTACAGTATTAATTACTGGTAAATATTAGCCTTTTTTATTAGTAAGGCGGCCAATGGACCTTAAAATGGGTGGCCAACTCCCAAGGGTATGCTACTTTTGCCATCACTCATTCACTCACTCAAGCTCTTTATCCCGGCTGGGACATAAGGCCGCAACCTTATCCTGACCTGAGCTTTGGCCTGTGCTTCACCCCACATTGGACACAACTCCTCCAGCTTCACACAACACATATTCCAATAGTTGTAATTGATCTTAATATCTAAAGAACTTTTATAACTTGCCATCGCTCAAACTCTAATCTGAATAAATGAACCACAAATCAGGAGTTATTATGTTATTAAGTTCACAGCACACTACCATTCACAGTACACAGTATTTAATATACTCTTTTTCCAAAGAAACAAAAACCACGTTATTATTTATTCAAAATAGTTAGCAGTTTCTGATTGGCTCCAATTCCATATTTAAAAGAAGCAAGCAATATACCAGGTTGATCAATGGTATATTTGCCTAGAAACGAGGCTTCTTGGGCAATGGTGAACTGAAACAAATGGCAGTCACAGCTATTCAAAGATGAACTACCATAAAATTCTGAAAATAGGTCCCTCCAAATATAAGTACCCCAAACTTGTAACGCAATAAACACCTCCGTTAAACTGCCCCTCCAAATATGAGCCCCTTGGGGGCCTGTACTTGGAAATTGCCCTCAACTTTACAAAGGAAAACAAAGCACAAACAGTAAATTTCCTTCCAACTATATGGCTGGCCCAATTGTTTTTGGAATGCAAATTTCCCTCAGTACATAAGTCCCTCCAAAAGTAAGCCCTCTGAACGGACCTTTGAGAAATATAAGCCCCGGGCTTATTTTCCGAAGTTTAAAGTATCTAAATTTCTGACTAAAACTGAATCGAAGAAATGCAAGAATACACAAAACACATTGCTCGATAGATGTTAACTACTTTTTGCGTAGTATCTGCAAGAAAAAAAAACATCTGTTCACGAAAACATGCCGAGAAATAGGCCAAAGTTTTGAAGAAAAGGAGGTGCACTTGTTAAGAACTTGGAAATATTTTAAATGACAAATAACACAATTATTGAATTTAAGCTACGTCATATGGAGTAAAGAATTATGCTGATCTCGGAGGTTGTTGATAACACTCTTCTCAGTCTGTCTGCATATTTCCTCATATCATACAAAACCTCATTTAATAATAATTTTTTATTAAAAAATAACACTTTCACTTGCTAATTATTAACAAAGCAGAAACACATGAACTTTTTCTCACTACGGAGCATCAGCAGTAATAAATTGGAATCAAAGATTATTCATCCTTCAAATTTCTGCTTTTTATTTCACCATCATCTGCTCCATAACAATACACCAAGCTCCTCAATCAATCAATCAATCCACCAACTCCCAAAGTGAAGTCATTAATTCATAACATTTTTCTCACCTTAGCTTCCTCATTAGTGATGCGGTGCACTGTGAAGCGACCTTTCACATCATAGAGCAGGCGGAAGTTCTCACCAGTTTTTTCAATGGAGACGACATCTAAAAGAGGAAGAACAAAATCACTTTATTGACTCTTAACAGATTAACTGTCATCTCTTTATCTTTGTCATGGCACTAGACATAATTTCAACATTTATGCTAATCCTCGTAATGTGAAGGACACATGTCAGACACAGCCCTGGCACAACCCAAAATGAGCAACATTTGCCCCCTACTCCACACTTGGGTTTAGTAACATTAAATAAAAACCACACAATGTTGGGCCTTTAGCACCTGTTGCTCTGATTATCCTGCCTACTATTGTTAAAAGTTTTGACTGGGCTGCAGATGTGAGCTTTGTAACCAACCTCACGAAACTTAAGTCTCTTTTTACTCGTGATCCTAAATATGAGTGAACAGTGGGGAGAAGGGGAGGAGGAAAATTTGGGTGAGGTGTCATAAATGTTTGTTGAGAGAAGCTATTGTAAGGGAAATTAATCCTTGAAGCAGGTACCCAACTTAACGACACCCTCATGGACTCACCCCAACAATCACTGGTTCTTTTTCGCTCAAATACAAGGAAAACAGCCTCATTTGGGGAAATCTAGTAAACCAGAATCTAAAAATGTCTGTACTGCAAGGGTCCCCACCCCTCCTACAATTGTCAAGTAGTCACTGACGCTCGGGAGAGATGGACAAAGGTTAAGACTCTCGGACATTGCTTCAACTGTTTGGGAAACACAAGTCTTCAGTGTGTCAGTCAAAATTCCGCTGCCATAAATGTAAGGGGAAACATCACACAAGTTTATGTTTGGGCCCCACTGATCCTGCCATCAACCCTCCGACCACACCTGACAATACGGCTCCCACTCACAGTCCTCATACTTCTATAGCAGAGCCACCCTTCAGGGTACATACCTCTCTCTCGCACCAATTACTCAAACGAATATCCCAGTCAACAATGGCCCAATATCACTCTTGAAAACTGCTGTAGCAACTGTTGGCTATAACCATACGCACTGTGAAGCTAACATTCTATTCAACGAAGGTGCACAGCGCCCTTTATCACGCAGTCCTTCGCTGATCAACTAGGCATACTTTACACAGAGAATGAATCTATTGCCTTGTCTGCCTTTGGTGCACACTCCTCATCCAACAGACGATTACCTATGGCCAACATCACTATCGTCACTAACAATGGGAACACATACCAATACGTGTCCTTGTGATTGACCAAATCACCACACCACTTCAGAACCCTTTCGGCAGCAGGTCCGAACCATACCCTACCTAAGGGGTTCAACTTGCCCACCCTGTGACGCCGGACGAGATTTTGAAATCTCACTTCTACTTGGTGCGGATCACTATTGGGATATAGTGATGGACACGGTCATCCGCGGTCAAGGCCCAACTGCTGTAGAATCAAAGATTGGCTACCTCATCTCTGGACCACTACAGACTAACTGCGTCCATCGCACTGACACTGCTGTGAACCTGCTACAGACACTGTCTTCCACAACGGCGGCAGAACATGATCTTGAACATTTCTGGTCTCTGGAGTCTATAGGCATCACACCACCTACAGAAGTGGATAATCAGGAGTCCTTCCTGCAACACTACCAGAGATCCTCAATCACAAGAATGTCCGATGGCAGTTACAGCGCCAAATTCCCATGGAAGGAAGATTTTCCACACTACCTTCCAACTATGGTAGCTGTGCACGCCGCCGCTGGCTATGGTGCGCCTTTGCTCAGACACCTAGCCTTCTTACCTCGACGGGAAATTATCAAAGAACATGAAAGGCGTGATTTTATTGAAAGGGTTGACAATGTAGACAGTATGGATAGAGCGCACTACCTCCCACATCACGCAGTCAAGAAAGAATCTGCTACCACACCTATCAGAGTTGTTTTGATTGCAGCTCCCGATCCTCAAACAACTCTCCAAGTTTGAACGACTGCCTTATGGTGGGCCCTCCATTTCTAAGCGATATGTGCTCCATCATCATAAGATTCCGATCCTTCACTTACGGCCTGTCCACAGATATTGAGAAGGCCTTTTCTTCATGTCGGTCTCGATGGCAATGACCGAGACTTTACCGATTTTTCTGGTTGTCAGACCCTAAGAATCCGAAAGCGAATTTCAGGTCTTTCGTTTCAAGACGGTCCTATTTGGTTCCACCAGTTCCCTTTCATGCTGAACGCCACAATGCATCATCATCTGAAAAACTACAGTACACCTGTGGCCAAAGACATTGGAAACAATATGTGCTCAAGAGTGTCTCTTGAGAGGGATTTACCCAGACCTCGGAAATAAGACAAAAACATGTTTGAAAAATGGCAGAAAAATAATACGATTTTTTGGGCTCTTTGAGCTTTCATGCAAAGTTATACACATGTATTGAAGAATTACGAACAAAAGTGATGATCAGGCTTTTTTGGAGGCTGCAAAAATGAATTCACCAAATACATTTGAGAAACATCCAAGGACAGAATTGCCCAGGAAAAAATATGGTTGAACATGGATAATTTTGTCAAAAAAATATAATTTCCTTGGAAAGCTTGGGGTTCAAAGGGCTATTATTCCCATAAAATGTTTTGTTTCCCACCGCCCTCCCCCTCGTAAAGGTGGGTCGGTCAGTCGGGCAAAAAAAAAAAAAGAATGAACAGATGATTGCATATTAAATCTCATGTTTAGTCTGCAAGATATAATCAGATGGCAAAAGATGTATATTAACAGGACTATCAAATGTCTAAAAAGGCTACGAAAATGAAGTATCAATGATAATTTAAGACAATTGGTGTTAATAAGACAAGATCGTGTGCTTGTAAATTAAAGTACTTGCTTTACAAGTGATTCTGGAATTTTTTTTTGTACTTTTCCAAAAAAATGGGTCGGTCGGGCGATGGGAAATGAAACATTTTATGGGGATGGCCTGATGGACTAAAACCCTTCCAATGCTTAAGTCAAAAGCTGCATGGAATCCTTTTCAAAGACACCAACACCATAACAATAAGCAGGGACTTTAGCAATGACTATGGGCCATCATTACTTGTTCAAAATAACAATAACAAGGGCCATCATTACTTGTTCAAAATATTTCCCTATTTCTGATTGGCTTATTAATTGGCTTATTTACTAAGATAGGGCTATTATAAGTATGAAAATTTAATTCTAACAACAAATAAAACAATTTCTTCACCACTGAATTTGGCTTATTGAAATAATGTTGATCGCACAGGTTGTTATCCACTTCAATTTTTAAGTTCGAAAGATAACACCCTCTTTGATCCATCTACCTCTTAACATCATATTCATCTAACACCATATTCAATTAACTACTCGTTTATCATTTTCTCATCCAAGTTTTGGCAAGTAAAGTTAATATGGCTCTTATGCACGTTACATTACATTGCCAAGTGCCTCAATTATGAACAATGTTCAGTTCTTTGCATTATAATGTTTAAAAAATCTTTTTGGCTGGTTATTCCAGTCAACTTTACCACTGGCAGAACTTGATAATTACTAAGAAACCTGTCTTGTTTGTAATTCAAAAGTAAAGATTGTGGTTTAAGTCAGCTTGTCTGATGTGAACATGCAAAAAAGTGACTGTTTCAGACATTACGATTATGCAATTGATATAATGAATTCTCACCCATGAAGCCAGCAGGGTAGGTGACATCAGTCCTAATCTTTCCATCAACCTTAATCAATCTTTGTTTAAGAATCTTCTTGACCTCGTCATAGCTCAGAGCATATTTGAGGCGGTTTCTAAGGAAAACAATGAGTGGCAGACACTCTCGCAACTTGTGAGGACCGGTGGATGGACGTGGTGCCTATAACGAAGGGCAAATAGTTTGTCAATATACTATTGAAACTGCCAATGTATTATAGGAGTTCATTACATGTATCCCTCCACCTCCAGTGCCTGGTTCCTGAAAGGGCGATTAGCGCTAATCCAGGATTAAAATTTTGTTCCATTTTTGTATTTTACCTTCCTATCTACTGCTTAGAGTATCACTTAGTGTTAACATTTCCATTTCTCAAAGTGGAGGCTCAACAGTGTTTTGTAAGCTCAGGTTGCATGTTCTTGGGCAAGAAAGCCTTGCTTAAAATTTGGATTAATCCCGGGTTAAACTTAACCATCTTTCGGGGAACCGGGCCCAGGTTGTTTACCTTGAACAAAAAGTTTCAAGAAAAGCTGGTCGGAAAGTATATGGAACACAACTTTTTGGATCATTCCAGGGGAAAATTTTCAGAGCAAGAGACCATCTGAAAAAGTTGTTGTTGTGTTTTTCTGAACGATAATTAGTTTCCGTTTCTTCAAAGCCATCTTTGATACCTGTTTCAGGCCTTTGCGACCATTTTTGATAAGTGGAACTGATTTGTACAAATGGTAAGTGCGATTCCAGGACGAAATTTCCCAGTCCTGAATTTTGCTTACCATTTGCTCAAACTGTGAACTGAACGGTTTAGAAAGAAGAATGCACAGGAACAGAAACTGATGATAAACCTGACACAGGCTGGTAGCAGAACGAGGCTCAGGGATGAAGGATTAACATTAAACCCTGATCTACTATCAGTAGAAACTGAGAGTGAGCCTTCTAATAATTGTGTTATTAGGAATCTGCTAACATTCATTTCTCTTACAAGAACAAGAGAACTTTATGGTGATTTCCAGCAAGGCGTACTATGAGCTGATAGATAACAAGTGTATCAGCCAATCAGAATGCAGAATTTACAGTAGAACACTGCTAGATTTTCACTTTATTATCCTTAAAGGGACAACTTCAGAAACCAACACTTTGAGGAAAGGAGCACTTTTGTTATTCAGTGAGTATTTTGAAGTTTTAATAGCCTGTGTGGGAATTTTTGGTGAGATTTGTATGAGATGTATGAAATAGTATGAAATTATTGCTGTGTCCACAATAAACGTATGGGGCTGTAGGAAAATCTTACCCAAAATATAAGCTGATCATAATAGAAGAGAATTCGAGTGACCTTGATGTTTCATAAAAGATTCCATGAGTCACATTAAACAATTAAATGGACATAATCGAGCAAAAAAGATTAATAATGACTGGTTTTATCAATAAAAGTTAAAAATATATAGAGTAAAAGAAGAAATTTTAATGCTTTTACTTACAAAAGTACCAGACAACTTATCAAGCATCCAATGATGCGGAGCATTTAAACGCTTTAAATGCTTCTTCGGACCACGAGCCTACAAAATAACAGGACAGTACTACAGTTTAACGTTCAAACTTGCAATTTATTTCATTTTATTCAGAGAAAATTGACCTGATAGTCATAGATGGATTGGATAAAACACTACACTTCAACTTTTCGATACTAACCATGTTGGCGACGAGATGGAAAGAGACTGCTTCCCAGGGCTCCTTGCGATTTGGAACGTCCCACAGTGCATTGCTGCCGAGGAAAAGGTAAAATGGCGGACAGATTTGATCGTTTGCAGCGCGAAAGTCCTATTTTGGCGTAAGTTTTGGCTCTTTGCATTTTTATTCTTTTTTTTAGGCTGGATATGGAATATGGTTCCAAGTTAGATCGTTCCGTTTTAAGGTCAGATCGTTCCACACTTTTAGTGTAAATACAGATTTGATTCAGTAGCGTTCTGGCCAGAAAAAGAGCATCTAGTATAATACGCACACATCTTTTTTGAACTTTAAAAATCTCATCCAATAAGCCTGCATTACAGCTTCCCCAAACAAACACACAGAGTACTCTAGAAGGACTAGAATAGGTTTCATACTAGCATAAAAGAGAATTATGCAATATTTAACTGGTAGGAATTTATTAATGCGAGCCAGAAGAGCACCGTCCTTGAGGAGTTTTTTCTTGGGATTCTCTACGATGGGATGACCAAGATAGGGAGGGGTCGATATCTAGCCCCAAGAGACATTCCTCTTGAGTTTGCTCCTACTTCCTACCATCCAAACACAGCAAAAAGGGCAGATTCTTCACAACGGGACAGCTTTTGTCGAGTACCAATTATCATGTATTTTGTCTTTTCTGGATGGGTAGCCATACCATGATCTTTAGTCCATGTCACCATTTTAGAAACATCCCGTTGAAGTTGTACCTGAACATCAGTCCGAGTAGAGGCACTAGCATAGAAAGTAGCATCATCAGCAAATAGGCCATTTTTATTTTTCCAGGTTAAGGGCAGGTCATTGATGAATAGGAGGAAGAGGGTAGGGCCCAAGATTGAGCCCTGAGGAACTCCAGATCTCAATACTTTAGTATCAGATAAGGTTCCTGCAATGTGTGACACACTGTTGACGGTCTGACAAGTACGTAGCTCTTGAGCCACAGTAATGCTGATGAGAAGCAACCATGCATTTGTAGTTTGGCTACTAGCAGGTCATGATTTACAACATCAAAGGCCTTATGTAGATCTAAAAGTATCGCGCTAGTGTCTAAGCCTTGATCCATTGCCTCAAGCCAGTCATCAGTCATTTTAATCGTTAAAGACTCAGTTGAGTGGAGAGGTTGAAATCCAGATTGTGTTGAAACAATAAGATTAAACAAACAAAGATACAGTATTAAATGGGTACATATGTGTCTTTGAAGCAGCTTCGAAAATAACAGGAAGAACAAATCAGATGAAAATTGTTCAGATCAGAAGTTGGTCCAGATTTGCGAACCAGTGTAACATGTGCTGGTTTGAGGGCAGAAGGGCAGCTACCAAACTGAATGCTACAATAAATTGAGAACCTTAATGAGACTTTCAAGAATAGCCGGAAAGATGAGCTTTTAGTAAAGGAGCACTTATTCCATTGAGACCCGTAGCAACATTTGTAGAAAATGATTTGATTAATTTATCCAAAGAATTGACATCAAGGAGTGGGATTTCAAAGTTTGTAGTAGAAGGTTTCCTATTGTTCACAAAGCTCCCATTATTCAGGGGTATTGTCTCCAAGTCTCATATTTTCATGGACAACAATAGCTAACATTTTTGCATATTTCAAAATTAATGTATTGCTAGTTACTGCTGTTCACGTGAAAATGAAACTTGGAGACAATGAGAGGCTTTCACTTGTAAACTTGAAATTTTCAACAAAACATTTGTGAAATGTATTAATTTTATAAGACATCATGTTTATTAGGTTAAATGATTTCTATCATTACCTTGGCAACATAGATGGTTTAAAACAAGCCTAAAATTGTGAATTCAGTAGGTTTATATGTTCATGTTGGATTGACTGAATGTTGTCTCAAGCTGCCAGAGTTAAAATCCTATCTGCCGTAGTGCTCAAATAGACATATATACATTTCATGTTTAATGGCAACTTGTGATTAAGAGCTAGTGTTTTGGAAGTGACCTAAAACCTTATTTAATATTACAAAATTACTCTTGCTTTTCTAGAAATGGCAAAACCTTAACCTGAGGTGGATTTGACCGAATTTACACCTCTTGACGATACTCGGAGCTGCTGCCTATAAAAAGGTAACTTCTTATAGATTATTATTTATTTAATTCCCATTTTGTCTTTGTAACTTGGCTAATCTCACATCCAGTTATCGTTAATTAAGGTTATTACTTACAGTCAAAGCAGGTCAAGTGTTCCCGTCGCTAACAAACTAATGAATTCATTAATGGCAAAATGATTTTGTTTGTTGATTCAATAATTCATTAAAAAAATTAACAATCCAATATTCATATTCAGCCTCGATTCAATAATCGAATGTTGATTCGATTACTGTTTTTGGAAAAAGTGCACTTTCCACAAGTCAACCTCAGAATTTCGTTTTTTCTTCTTTTTGACTAAGAGTTGATTTTGGGCAAGTTCAGAAGTTCAATCCCAAACAAAATTGTTACATGTACACCACTTTGCTGCTAGTGATCAGTGCAACAGACCTGAGCCCTTAGAAACACGATGTCCAAACTGTGGTCAGTGTATGTGTGGTGATTGGTGGATTTTGATCCTCGGCCTTTGTTAGTTTCTTTGCGTCTGCAGTCTGTCTATTCTAGCTGTTATTTTGATTATTAAAAGGCAATGAAAAATGCAATCGTAAATGGTAGGAAAAGAGAGCAAATACGATTGAACACAACAGACAAGAATAAAGAACAGACCTTAGATTTTGTTCATAAACCAAATGAACACTTAATTATTGGATCGAGGTCCAATTTGACCATTGGATTACTCATTTTATAAGTGGATTATTGAATCGACAAACCGAATCATTTTTCCATTCACGAATTCGTTAGTTCGTTAGTGAAGGGAACACTTGATCTACTTTGACTGTAATTAATTATAGCTACATAAATTATCACTATGTAATGAAGAAATTGCCCTTGAAAAATTACCAACAAACCTACTGGACAACTCAGTCTGTTTTGTAGACACTTGGCTTTGTCCTTTTGGCATGTGTCCACATTAAGTTGGTTTGACTACACTGAACACATTTTTTTCTCTCTTGGCTCATTCACTTGGTAAGCTCCGTCTGCTCATACCTGAATGATCCAGCCTTCATCTAATACTTTAAAAGTTTATATGCTCTGCGGACCACTGTATATTTGACTCTAATCATAGCTGCATTTTTGTTCCTAAAACTTGGTTTTTGGAGACAAAAAGACCCCACTTCTTCAAAATTGTCATGAAAGATATTAATCAATGTGGTAATGTGTATAAAGAGTTTAGTTTTATTGTTTGTCTCACAATTGTCACTTTGATATCGATCGCGACGTTTCGACCGCACACTGCAGGTCTTCATCAGCCAATAGTGTCGATTTACAGAGTCAAACTATTTGTACCACTGTGGTTGTTAGTGACTGGTGTATCAAAATTCAAAATTGTAAAAAGAACAATTATTTTATTGCCAATGGGTTCAAGAAAAATTAACTTTACAGTTTAGAGTACGGTAAATGTTACAGGTCAAAATTAAATTCAGTTTAATTTTTTTTAACATAGGTTGATTCTCAATTTCTGTTGTCTTCTAGCCCTAATTATTCATGCATTACAGCTAGGAGACAAAAGAAATTGAGATTTAAGCTAGGTTACAATTTTACACTTGAACATAATTTTGACCTAGAACACAGACACCAGTTGAAGGGGAATACCTCTGTGAGTTGAGCACACTTGTTAGGAAAGCACATTTCTAGGACTTGATATATTCCAGCCATATTTTTACGTGTTCGCCTGTATACGGTGCCTTGTCTTTAAAGCCCAGAGGGTTACTCTGGATTTTAAGTGACAGGGATGATCAAAGGGTTTTTTTGGATTTGAAATTTTCGATTCCGGGAGTTTTTTGAGTAGGAAAATTTGGCAAGTATCTTGATTAAGGTAGGGATTTTTTTTGACTATTCAGAACAATCTGAAGATTCATGGTAGTGCCCGCGTATCCCAGCGGCGTAGTTTTGCGATTAAAGTTCAACCAAACTTTTTCTTAACGCTCAGAAATTCGGCATGGAATTTTTTGGGGGTTAATTTTTGGTTTCAGAGATATTTTTGGGTTTTGTTGGAAGCCCTAGGGATTTTTTTGGGTTTTGAATTTTGGCCCCATTTGCTCATCCCTGTCACTTGAAATCCGGAGTTACCCCCATGGGCTTTAAAGGCCGATACACAAGAGGGGTTTTGCTGCCAGAAAACTCTTTAGGCGGTCGAGAGACACTTTTAGTTCGTTTTTTAGGTAGTTTCTGTGATCTCATCAATATCATACACAAAATGGGATTCAATTTCTGTTTTTTTTGTTTTCGCTGTTGTTTTTGAACCAACCTGCAAAAAGGAAAAAGGATTCGGTGGAGAAAAACACAGTCTGATTTCAAAGAAGACGAAAGGAATTAATTTATTGTTTTCTCGCAGCTCGTATTGGAGAGCACGAGACCTGTGCCACTGGTCAAATCTTGCTCGTCGGAAATTGCGCGTTTCCTAACAACTTCTTTATAGAAAGGGCGATATCTATCTGATCACCGGCTGTGTTACTATTTTAATCGATGTTTGTTTTCCCTCTGTACAGAATTTCCTTCCATTTGATTAATCGTGTCGTTCCTAATAATCCAGAAAACTGCATACATGAAAGCAGTTATGAGTAAAAACATTTGCTCTGGAAAAACAAACTCCGGTGGCAAAGTCAAGGCTGAGAAAATCAACTTAATCAGTTTGCTTGCTTGAACCGGAAGATTATTAAATGGCTTTGTTGCATGGAATTCAGCTTTTAATCTTCGATACTTCCACCCTTGTTTTTATAACCTACTCTCCTTCTCACGTCGCTTGCATATTTTAATTGATGCGCGTTAATTCGGACTCCACGTGGATCGATTAGCGGGTTTTAAGTGCCATGACAGCTGATAAAATATTCAATTAGCTGCCTAAACGTTTCAACAAACATTCCAAGGCAG